TCGTAATCGGGAAATATTAGTGTCACGTCGTGATGGGTAAATATTAGTGTCACGTCGTAAGGGGGAAATATTAGTGTCACGTCGTAATGGGGAAATATTAGTGTCACGTCGTAATCGGGAAATATTAGTTTCACGTCGTGATGGGGAAATAGTAGTGTCACGTCGTGATGGGAAAATATTAGTGTCACGTCGTAATCGGGAAATATTAGTGTCACGTCGTGATCGGGAAATATTAGTGTCACGTCGTAAGGGGGAAATATTAGTGTCACGTCGTGATCGGGAAATTTTAGTGTCACGTCACGTCGTGATACGGAAATATTAGTGTCACGTCGTAATGGTCGTAATGGGGAAATATTAGTGTCACGTCGTGATCGGGAAATATTAGTGTCACGTCGTGATCGGGTTATGGAATTATTAGTATCACGTCGTAATGCTGAAATATTAGTGTCACGTCGTGATGGGGAAATATTAGTGTCACGTCGTAATGGGGAAATATCAGTGTCACGTCGTAATGGGGAAATATTAGTGTCACGTCACATCGTGATGGGGAAATATTAGTGTCAAGTCGTAATAGGGAAATATTAGTGTCACGTCGTGATCGGGAAATATTAGTGTCACGTCGTAATCGGGAAATATTAGTGTCACGTCGTGATGGGGAAATATTAGTGTCACGTCGTAATGGGGAAATATTAGAGTCACGTCGTAATCGGGAAATATTAGTGTCACGTCGTGATGGGTAAATATTAGTGTCACGTCGTAAGGGGGAAATATTAGTGTCACGTCGTAATGAGGAAATATTAGTGTCACGTCGTAATCGGGAAATATTAGAGTCACGTCGTGATGGGGAAATAGTAGTGTCACGTCGTGATGGGGAAATATTAGTGTCACGTCGTAATCGGGAAATATTAGTGTCACGTCGTAATCGGGAAATATTAGTGTCACGTCGTGATGGGGAAATATTAGTGTCACGTCGTAATGGGGAAATATTAGTGTCACGTCGTAATCGGGAAATATTAGTGTCACGTCGTGATGGGTAAATATTAGTGTCACGTCGTAAGGGGGAAATATTAGTGTCACGTCGTGTTGGGGAAATATTAGTGTTACATTGTGATGGGGAAAAGTTAGTGTCACGTCACATCGTGTTGGGGAAATATAAGTGTCACGTCGTGATGGGGAAATATAAGTGTCACGTCGTAATGGGGAAATATTAGTGTCACGTCGTAATCGGGAAATATTAGTTTCACGTCGTAATGGGGAAATATTAGTGTCACGTCGTGGTGGGGAAATATTAGTGTCACGTCACATCGTGATGGGAAAATATTAGTGTCACGTCGTGGTAGGGAAATATTAGTGTCACGTCACATCCTGATGGGAAAATATTAGTGTCACGTCGTGGTGGGGAAATATTAGTGTCACGGCGTGATGGGGAAATATTAGTGTCACGTCGTGGTGGGGAAATATTAGTGTCACGTCGTAGTGGGGAAATATTAGTGTCACGTCGTGATGGGGAAATATTAGTGTCACGTCGTAATGGGGAAATATTAGTGTCACGTCGTGATTGGGAAATATTAGTGTCACGCCATGATGGAGAAAAGTTTGTGTCACGTCATATCGTGCAGTGAAAGTGAAAAACTAGTCTCTCTTGTCACGAATCGTAAAGCAAACGACCGCCATCTGTTGTGAATCTAACCTTGACTAGCTTTGTCTACTCTGTTGTATCTGCAATATTCGATTATGTGGCAACTCCCCTCCCCACTCCATCCCCACTGGTGTCATCACCTTGTGAAAGTTTTTAATATATCCTAGATTAAAAACAAACATACTGGATTGAAAATAAATATCTTGGATTGAAATTTTTTTTAAAAAAGTTAGTTTTTTCGTTAGGGGTGGTTAGCACTGGGTCATTGTGTGAAGATTTTTGAAAGAAATTGAAATGGTTCACTTAAAAAGATTTTTTAGCCATAATATTACAAGCCTAATCGTAATGTGCATAACGGTGTGGTTGAAACACAATATTTTCTTCAAGTAAATATTTAGCATTGTAATATTTCCCTTGTCAATAGTTAAAATTAATTTTATTGTTTTAATCCAATTTTCAACACAACCGACCTACGCATGCTTTTTTTTTATCAGTAAATGGTTTTACACACATACACACACACACAACACAGACACACACACACATATATATATATATATATATATATATATATATATATATATATATATATATATATATATATATATATATATATATATATATATATATATATATATATATATATATATATATATATATATATATATATATATATATATATAGTGGCCCCCAAAAAATTTCAGCCGGGGGCCCTGCTCAACCTTAATCCGCCCCTCATCTAGTTATATATTACAAAAAAAGCCCCTTTTTTTACATTTATTTAACAGTTTCTCGTTATTTTTGTCTATTTATTGCCTTTATCATCCCTACCTGGATTCACCCCTGTACCATTTCTTCAAGTTAAATTTTTCATAGAATTTCAACATAGGCAGTCGTCCCTTGAAAAAAATTTGTTTAATGGGTTCAATATTTAAGTAAAATCATGCTGAGATTAAATTTCAGTAAAAGCGCAACCCCCCCCCCCCCCCCCCCCCCCCGATGTCAAACCTAAAAACAGAAGAGTGTGTGGGTGACGTTAAAAATATTTTAGTTCAGTGCATAAAGGTAAATCTCACGAGAAAATATGTATAAGAACGTTTCACATAACTGGGATTAGCAAAAGTGTATTTACAAATTAAAGGGGATAACCTACAACACACATTACGTATTACATGTCACCATGTTATATTTCATATGGCCCATTGACTCTGCCTCTAGCCTGATTCTTCTTTCTATACTCCCTTCTATAGTCTTAGTCTATTTAAGAACTATCTACTAGTCAAAGATCTTTGATTTTAGAGTAACATCACCTAAATGGGCTGCTACCCAGCTAACGATCCTCCTGTGCGCAAGGGATCTGAGCTCGGGAAATTTGGAGCTAGCCATAATACGCACTCCCTCCAGACCACACGGTCCAAATCCGCTTTCTAAAACTATATATTTATCATCGGTGTAGAATAAACCCACAAAAAAAGAAATAAGACTTCGTTGATTTTTATATTTACGTCATCGTCACTTATTATTGTGTTATCCCTGAATATCACTGTTTCTTTCAGTCTAACCCCTCCCCCCCCCCCGAACAAAATGGAAATTAATACAGAAAATATATACGTTTACCAGTGCCCACCCCCCCCCCCGGAAAATATATTCCGCCCCTCGGAAAATGTGTCAGTTATTGTTTTTCATGTAGTTTTTATATTTTCACTTTTTTCCGGTGACTTTTTCTCCTTGAAACTTTTCCCCGCTTTACTTTGAAAGTTTATTTTTAGAATGACCGTACCCAGAGACAACGGGTGACCTCTAGTGTGACGTCTGCTGTAAAATCAACCTGATATTCAACTGTCAGCCTTCATGTTATCTAGGGGGAAAACATTAATAAGTTAAAGATATTGATTTAAAAATACAGTGTGGTATCGGTTACAGTTCCTTCATTACAGAGCTGAAGAATTTTTGTCTGGTGTTGTCTCAAATATTATTCTAGAGTAATCAATGTTTATTTCCTTGATGAAATGTGCTTATCTTGCGAAAACTGAACTAAATTCCGTGCATATTTGTTTGTCTGACGTTACTTAGCTTTAGAAGGCTTGAGATGGCATGAAAACCATTCGCACACCTCGACAATATGTGAGGTATTATATTACTTTTCTTTCGATCTTTAAACATCGATTCTTTTTAAAAGTCCTTGTTCTGGTTACAGACCAATTCGCGAAATAAAAAAGCCGAATAAGTTTTTATCTCTGAATAGCACTCATATACAGTCGTCGTCCCCCCCTCGCCCACAATTATTATACATGATAACTTCTCTTCATAGGTTTTTTTTTCTTATACACCGTAGAAATTTAAAAGAAAATGGAAATCATACAGTGGCGTCTCTAGGTTGGGTGTCAACCGGTGCGGCACTTCCACCCTCAGAGAATATATATATATATATATATATATATATATATATATATATATATATATATATATATATATATATATATATATATATATATATATATATATATATATATATATATATATATATATATATATATATATATATATATATATATATATATATATATATATATATATATGGGTGGGGCAAATATATTTTTTTTGCTGGGGGAACTGTTTTTTTCTAGTTCCGCGTCGCGACCAGAGGAGTAGCGACCTACTCCGGCGCCTTGTCAAATTTGCGTCCCTTCCTCCCATTTCTATATATAGTTATTCCTGTCTGCGAAAAAACGTCCGCTCCCCCTTCCTAGATGGAGAGGTTTGTGACGTTTCTTACCCGTAACATTTTCTATTTCAGTGCCATGAAATTGATATAGAAAACAGTTAAAGCAATGTGTAAAGCCCTGTTGTCGTTTATTTTCGTAACTTCTAGAGAGTATAATTCAATACTTCAGCTTAAAATGAGCTTTTAAATTAATTTTACCACCCATTTTGGTGCCTCTTAGGGTCGGCGCCCGGGGCGGCCACCCCACCCGCCCCCTCTAGCTACGCCGTTGTCCGCGACTGCTCCAAATGAATTTTTAACTGATAAGTAATCATTCAGTATTACTTTGTTGACTAAAAGTCGAAATATTAGGCTTACACAGTAACCTACTTTGAGCTTAGATAGTAGATATATCTCCTTTTAATGATGTCCTTGCGAATTTAAATGGGTAAAAAAACGCAGCTATCAAATTCATTAATAATATACATAATTGGAATTGTTCCTTAAAATACCGTGTGCAGAAATAGTTTGGGAGCTTTATAAGCATTAAAAAAAACTTCAGCCATTTTGCATTGTTGGTTGTTTAAATAAAAACAGTAGTGATCGTATTGTTCGGTAGATTTTTTAATTTCCGGAATTTAGTTCAGCTCTCAGGAAGTAAACAAACTAACACATGTCGCAAGCATATCGAAATCATTCGTGATTTGAGAAGTCAGCGTGATACGTGTGCCCGTGTTTCCACGTAGCGTGTAAAAAAATGTAATCTCTTTAGTCTACATTTGGAATCTACTGTAGCGGGGCAGTAACTGTATACACTTTATAGCCACACAGTAGTTCTAGATCTAGACTCATATTCGATTGCGATGGTTGTTGTAGTTTAGGACAGGTTTTCCGTTTTAGTAAAGTTGAGTTTTTTAAAGTTTACGCTACGCACAGTGAAAGAGTGAAAGAAAGCTGCTCTAACTCTGTGATCCTGCCCATCGATCGATCCCAAAACTAAACAAGATTGATTGGTTTGTCTACACAGCTGCTTGCCGTCTAGATTTACATCTCAATATAATTTTTTTAGCATAGGCCTCATTCATACTCCTAGAAGGGCCTTCAATTTTACTTTTTGGCGTATTTTATTCCCTGCTTCACGGTCACCTCCAGTTGAGCATATTAAAATTTTATTAATTATTAACAACCGAAACACAATAATGTTAGGAAAACATGGGGCATATTAACTTATTTCTTTATGAATTTTTGTTTTAGTTTTTGATAATTTACTTGTCAGGACTTGAGAAAAATCTGAATTTGGAATATTGAAAAGTGCTGTGTTCGTGTGTCAGATAAGATTTTCATGACTACTAATGGGCGAAGTATAAAACTCACAATTGCAAGGCGGATAAGTTAAGTTTGTATTTGTATTGTTACAGTATCTCCCACGCATGAGGCCTACATAAATAAAATGTTGGGATTTTTCTCCCGCTGACGATCACACACTTATTACTAGTGACTATTTAATTGGAACTGTCCAAATGCTTTTTATATATTTTTACCTTTTCTAATTAAAACTCATTCATAAAAAAAATGTTTTTGTGTGTTTCGGTTGTGTTTATAATAAAACCCGAGATGAACGTGAAGTGGCGAATAAAATACGCTAAAATTGGAGTTTTACCCTATAGTACTTATCATAACTACATAACTAATTTTTAAGTAATAAGCAGGCCTATTCAAGATTCTATAGGCCTACAATTTATCCATGCATGATTTTGGTTGGGTTTTATTTTTAGGCCCAAGAAATTTCTTCAAAGTTGAGACATCAGTCTACAGTACATAGATATCTAGATTCTAGTCACAGTAAGTAGATTTAGTAGGGTAGGCCCGATATTAAGTACTAAGTAGGCCTTACAGTTGTTAAGTTTTAGTAGATCTAGATCTAGGCCTAATAGTAATTAATTTAATTGTCGGAGGATCAGATTTACCAATTCATAAAATTGTAGATCTAGCTGCACTAAGGTTTAGACATATGCTCATATTGATCTAGATCTAGTATTTAAAAAACATAGCAGTAGATCTAGTAGTGTTGTTAGTATCCTCACAAATTAAAGACTGCATTACGGCCTACAAGTTAGTAGGCATAATTCTCTTTAATTTGTGAAGATGCTAACATTATCCATTTAATTACAATTAACCTATTCATAAAATGACGATTTAATTTTAAGGCTAATTAACTATTTAGAAATAAGAAACTTAGAAAGCAGTATGTCCGTGTGGTGGTCGGTAAAGCTCATGGTTGCTAAACTGAAAAGTCTCGACAGCTGGGGACACCAACTCTTCTAGAGTGAGACAACTCCAGAATCAAACAACTGCTGATGTAGTTTGTTCTTGGTTGGACAAAGGCTATGGAAGGAAATCCAAAAAGAAAAGTGGGCTGAAATCTGAGTCGACCGGCCTATATTGCATATAACAATTTGACATGTATACTTAGTTGTCATGGAGGATACACCTTCCAACACTAAACTTAAGAATGCAGATGAAGAAGAAAACAGTATCAGTATGAAATAGAATATAATTTAGTATTTAAGTAGGCTTAGGCCCTATAATATAGATCTAAGTTGATCCAACCATTCATAATCAACTAAATGTAATAAGGCTGGGCAATGATACTTGATATCGTTATAAACTATAAATAAAACAGACAAAACTCATGATCTACATAAGTCCCTAATGAATTAGTCAAATAACTAACACTAACTTAAATCTAGATGACATCACTAAAATCTCCAGCTACAGTTGTTTACGATAATTAGGCCCTAATTGGTACATTTATCATTTAATCGCCAGATTTTCACCATGAGAAATCCTGAAGAGGCTGGTCCTCCAGAGAAGAAGCCAAAGCTGATGCACACACAACAAAGTAATTTATGTGTTGATTGTGAATTGTAGAGCTAGTATAATGAAAATATATTAAGTCCTCCAAGCAAAATTCTCGAAGAATTTAAAAAAAAATGTCTTTCTTTCCTCCTTTACAGACCAGGCCCAGCAGTTTGCTTCCCGGGGAAACAGCTTTGAGGAACTGAAAAATGTCAGAAGGGCGTTGCCCATTTATCCAGCCAGGCAGAAGATCATTGCGGAGATCAGAAAATTCTCATCTTCAATTGTCATTGGTGAAACGGGCAGCGGTAAAACTACACAATTACCTCAGGTAATTTGTTCAAGATTATAAGTCTGCTCTTGTATTGGTGATAGAAGTGCTTAAGTTAGTACATATTCAAATATTACACACATTTAAATTTGTAAAATCATAAGGAGATCCATTGGATCTGTCTTTAAGGTTGAACTGTGGACTCCAAATCACAACCGTCCAATGTTATAAAGTTAAAACATTTCGTATGGGCTGGTTTGTCATTAGCTGATGATAAATTTTTACATGTATGTTTTATGGTTTAATTTTGGATGTACAAATGTAATTAGTTATTAATATTCCTTTATTATTCATATTTTGGATTTTCTAGTTTAGCTTATGACTATGTTTTGTCATTGTTTCAGTATTTATTGGAGGCTGGGGTAAATCAGGGTGCCATTATAGCAATTACACAAGTAAGTAGACAGCTGTTAAAGCGCTTACATTTTTTCCTTATTCTGGTTCTAAAAATAGTATTTGCTATGTGCCCTGCTTTTTATTAAAAAATTAATTATTAAATGTTTGACAATAATTTGTTACATGAAAACTTGTGTAGAAGATGACAAAAGTATTTTAAATTGTTACAATTTTTATTTCAGCCACGCAGAGTCGCAGCTATATCAGTGGCACAAAGAGTAGCTCAAGAGAAAAACACGACAGTGGGAAACATTGTAAGCTGGTTTATACCTTTTTATTCTTTGCATTTTAAACTCAGCTGTTTTTTTTAGCTGTGCCCAGTTATTTCCCTTGGTCTGTAATTTGGAAAACCGGTATAATTACAGAAAGCAATGACTTACTTTAAAATATTTTAGTGCTTGGAGTAATGATTTTATTCTCTGAAGGCTATTCTAATTGTCTAGTATTGTTCTCGGAGCTCTATTTGACCTATTTTGTCTTTTATTAGGTTTTTTATGTTTATGTAAACTACATAAAATCTTGACTAGTTAGGGGAGCTGTGTTTTTTTTTGCCCTGACAAAATTAGGGAGATTTTCATCTTTATTGAATAGTTTTGTTCTATTTTATTTATTTTCCTTAGATGTTCTGTTAATTATGATGTAGAAAAAGAAGTATTGTTCTGAGTTATTCCTTTTTTCTAGTATTGTTGAAATGTACGTGTCTGCCCCCGGGTGTGTTAGTATTGTTGTAATATTTTATATGTGCCTGTGTCCAGGTGGGCTACTGTGTCAGGTTTGAGGACGTGACCTCCGCTGCCACAAAGCTGAAGTTTATGACAGACGGCATGCTACTGAGAGAGGCCATCCTGGACCCCACCCTCACCCGCTACTCCATCATCATCCTAGACGAGGCCCACGAGAGGACGATCAACACAGATGTTCTCTTTGGTGTAGTCAAGGCTGCCCAGAGGCGGAGACTTAAGACTGGACAGAGGCTGCTTAAGGTTTGCATAGTTCTTAATAATACTAAGTGGCTTTTTGCCTGGTTGAAATAAAGCTATTGCAAAGAAAACGCTTCGTTAGAGTTTTTACTCTTCCTGTAGGAAGAAAATACTTTAAAACTAATGCTGTTCATGATTTAATTCTTTGGTTTATTGCTGACATCTATACATCAAACTGTCTTTATTGAATCACTGGTTTGGGTTTATACCAGTATAGAAATTCTTATGAATCATATCTGAAGTGTATCTTCTAGCAATTTAACAGCTGGTAACCACTAACACAAAAGTAGCTTATCTAGCGTAAAGATAATTTCTTTACTCTTTTTGTCTTAACAAAAACAATGCAATTACATATTGGACAAAATAACCTATTTAAAATACATTATCATGTTTAATTGCTATTAGGTTTACCTTTAACATACTCTACTTCCTGTAATTAATTACAACTCTGACACCTGCAGATAATTGTCATGTCAGCTACCATGGACGTCGACCATTTCTCAGAATACTTCAACAAAGCACCTGTTCTGTACCTAGAAGGAAGACAGTATCCTATACAGGTACACAGACTTGTTATGTCTGTCTTATTTGAGTTGAGTTCTCTGGCTATGTTGAGACAAGTCAAATGGGGATACAAGATGTTGATTTAGGAATTGTAATGTAAACTCTAATGTACAGGTGTAAATTTCAACCCATCCATCAACTCAGGTGATGCACACCAAAGAACCCCAGAGTGACTACCTCTTTGCTTCCCTTGTCACACTCTTCCAGATTCACAAAGAGGCTCCAGCAGGGTAGAGATATTTTATAGTTGTGTATTTCTCAGTAACTTGTTGCATAAATGCTTACTTCTTAAATCAATGAATTAAACAAATAATTTTTTGGATATCAAAAATTTTAGTCTTGACTTTTGAGTTCATATTGTGGTCTGTATTTTTAAAAACAACTTTAAATCAGAATCTAGCTATTGATAAAAAAATAAGAATCGCCATTACCATGGAAATGAGGTCACTAGTGGATTGGAAGCAAGACGCAAGTCTCTTTCTCACCATCTTAACACCCCCTGCATTATTGTTTTCTCCTGTAGGGAAGATGTTTTGATATTCCTGACTGGTCAAGAAGAAATTGAATCAGCTGTGAGAACCATCACTGACCTGGCCAGGGACCTGAAGGATGTTCCACAGTTAACGGTCCTGCCGTTGTACGCAGCCCTGCCTTCACAAGTACAGATCAAAGTGTTTGCCAAAACCCCGCCTGTAAGATTTTATTTCAAAGTACATTTTTGTAGAATTTTTTAACCCTTTAATTTTTTAGAATTTGAGGTAACAATAATCTGTTATATGAAGTAGATGATCATGTTGTAATAGTGATATTTAAAAATTGAAACTGATTGACACCAATATAAACTGTTATTGACTAGGTAGTCAGAAAAAGGGCTGTTGGGGCTTCTGGTGGAAAAACCAAAGCAGTGTTTCCCAGCTGAAGCACATACTTGATTGTTACATTTTATCTTGGGTGGAGCTTTACACTGGCTATTGTTACTTCAACCTTAGTCACCGTGAACTTGTATGTTTACACTGACTGTTGTTACTTCAACCTTTGGGTCATCGTAAAGTTGTATGTTTACACTGGCTATCGTTACGTCTCTCTTAGGGTCACCGTAAAGTTGTAGTTGCCACCAACATAGCTGAGACATCCATCACCATTCATGGAATCAAATATGTCATTGACAGCGGCATGGTCAAAGCCAAGTAAGAAAATCTTTCCTGTAACGGATTGAAAGTAATTGTAATTATACCTTGGGGTATTTTCATTGTTTTTTTTTATTTATTTTTTTTGTTGATTATTTGAAATTGACATGTTCTGTGTTCAGTTTTTGTTTGTTTTTGACTTGAAGAATGATTTTCATTTAAATTTAAGTGATACATTTTTGTTAGATGTTTCGAGAGATTTTATTTTGTTAAATCATGAAGAATTTTTGTCCTGTTTCAGAGTTTACAACCCTCATAGTAGCCTTGACCTTCTAAAAGTTGTGACAGCATCAAAGGCCCAGGTGTTGCAGAGGACTGGCCGTGCAGGTCGCGAGGCACCTGGCTTCTGCTACAGGCTCTTCACAGAACTGGAGTTCCAAAACATGAGCACAAATACAATTCCAGAGATTCAAAGGTGAGTTTGCTGCTAGACCAGTGGTTCCTATCCTGGGTTTGATCAAAACACTGAGCCTTGGAGAGTCAGTCTCAGAGATTTGACACACCCGGCTCATAATTGTATTTCGGCAGTGCGGATGATAAAACTATTAAGAAAGGTGATGCACATATGAAATTCATGGTGTTCGGTTCCTTCAAAAAGGTTAAGAACCACTGTGGTATACCAATACATTATTGTATTACTGTTTCTTTTTGTCAGTAATGTTGTAATTATCACAATTGCTTCCTTATATTAAAATGCCATCATAGTTGATCTTTAACATTTCCAAGGTTTACTGTAACTCAAAGACCTTGGCACAAGGCAATGCTAAAAGCACAATATTCTGAGACCTTTAAAGGTTTGAATTATTTACATAAACAAGTTTTTAAAAAAATAATCTCTTTTAGATGCAATTTGGCAAGTGTTGTACTCCAGTTGATGGCATTGGGAATTTCTGATGTTTCAACTTTTGATTTCATGGACAAGCCAGCACCAGAGGTAAACACAAGTCAATCATTCTCTTGTTTGTTAAGTTCGGGACGGAGTGGTCTAGTGGTAGAGAGCTGGACTGCTAACCCATAAGTCTCGAGTTCGAATCCGGGTTCATGTCAGTAGACCGTCCCTGAGTCCACCCAACTCTGATGGGTACCTAACTCTGATGGGAAAGTAAAGGTGGCTGGGCATAGTGCTGACCACACTATGCCTTCATATGCTAAGTTTACAGAAATAGGTGAACTATACTTCACTTGTCCCATAGACCATCAGGTTTGAAAGGGAAAACTTTAACTTTTTGTTAAGTTCAACAGTAATCTTTGTTGGAGTAGGGTGTCAAGACATTAATCTGCTCTTCAAATGATTCGGACAATTTCAAATTTATAGTGGATCTCTTTTTATTTATTCTAAATGTCCTGTATTGTTACAAAAATGATTGAGTTGTGTATGTTAGTTGTATGCCATGTTTTAATTTTCAGTCAATCAACGCTGCACTAGAGGAGCTGGTGCTGCTGGGTGCTCTAGAAAGACAGGCCAACTCAGACATGTTGAAGGTAAAATTTTAATAGGAGGTGGTGGTTTACTTTAAGCATGGGGTGCTTGACTAGTAGCCTCATCATTTTAGACTCTAACCCTATTCAAAAGTGGGGATTTGCACTGGCTCAGGGGAAAGCAGTTACCAAATTTAGTGATAATAAATATTTCATAGAAAATTCAATTACTATTTTTAAAATTCAATAAGTATTTCTAATGACAATTGTTGGTTTGATATAAATTGTAAATTTTAAAGATTTTTGTGAGTAATAAAAAATATTGTCCGCCTCAAACCTACCTCTGTATTTGAATCCCCAAACTACAATTTTGCTGTTTTTTCAGTTGACAACACTGGGCAGACAAATGGCCGCCTTTCCTCTGGATCCCAGGTTTGCTAAAGTCATTCTGCTGGCTAAGGATTTTGAGTGCTTGTAAGTCATGTCACAGTTAAATGTTTAATGTTGTGATTAATACAATAAGATAGGTTTGCCCATAGTTTTGCATTTGAATCTCTTTTCACCACATACTAATGCTTATCTACTTCATCTGACACATTTCAAGGCAAAACCTGATGTTTGGTACAATAATGAGGTTTTCACAACCATGTTATTAAAAACAAATCATTTAAAGTAAAGTAAAGGCTGCCCGATGACAACATAATTTTATTAAAAAGTAGAAATTTGACCAAGAGCGGTTTTTGCTCTGGTCTTCTGCAAAACAGTCTAATGCACTATCTAGCAGTTTCTCGTAATGTCTAGTTGCCTGTTTCATTTCTGTGTCCAGTCATAATCCCCCTGGAAATAAACCTTCGACATAAATCCCCTGGAAAAAAAACCCTAGCATATACTAATGATGATGAGAGCCAAAAATCATATTTAAAAATAAAATAAACTTAAAGAAAAAGCCAGTGTTTTATTATAAATTAATAGTTTGTCATGGGGGGGGGGGGGGGGTGGTTGTCCATCAGTTATGGATCAGGAGCCTGCTTCTATGTCAAAATTACCTTGTAATTTTTCTTTAAATTTTTCCCAGGGAGGAGATCCTCAGCATCATTGCCATCCTTTCAGTAGATTCTGTTCTAGTCACCCTGTCTAGTAAGGTTGGTACACATTTCACTATCTCACACGTTGCATGGTTTTTACATTCATGACACTATTTTAAAAAATTAAAGTGCCAATGCTAGTTTTAGAAACTAAAATATCTGTAGATATTAACTAAAAAATCTGTACATATTGTAAGAGATAACACCATCTGTAGATATTTTAATAAATTTTAAAAAAATATTAGGAAAGTTGTTTTCATAAGAGCTTGTATATGATGAACCACTATTTTAAAAATTTAATGTGCCAAGTTTGAAAGAAATCGGTCCAGTAGAAGTAGTAGAAATTTTGTTTACAAGTTTCGACCCATAAGAGACAAATGAAGCAAGTTAAATAAAATCATGTAAAAGCCCAATTCCTTTTCTCAGTTAACGAATTTTTGGTTTCAGCGTAAAGAATGTTTAGAAGCCCATCAGAAGTTCATGTCTAGTGATGGGGATCATGTGACATTGTTGAACATCTACAGGGCCTACAAGTCTGTCAATGGAAATAAGGTAGTTCTATACAATTAAAGATTTTCTAGCAAGTTTTCGGCGCTTCACTAGATAGAAAACAGAAAATAGCCAGATAGAAAATAATTCCTGACTTTGGTAATAAGTTTCAGATCTTAAATATTAAGCTGGTTGCAATGACCAAGTATGATTTAACTGATAAGCACAGGACTGATTTATTTAGTTGGGGCACACCCAAACCTTCAGGCCATAGTTTTCTAGTCCACTGTTTGCACTGTGGCAATCTAAAAACACAACTGTGCTGCCACATTTTCCTTTCATAATATGTTTACAATTTTTGGATTTTATAACATTTTTTCTTTTTACCTACCTTTCACAAGTCTGTTGCCTCCCTTAGTCTGGGTCACACTGCCTTTGTTTCAACTCAGGAGTTAAAAAAAACTCCACCTCAATGTGTCTTACATGTAGTCAGTTGTCAGATCATAAGCATTTCAGTCCTATGATTTGATTTATGTTGTGAATTTAAACCATTCATGCATGTATCACATATCACATCAAACTATGATTAAAATGAACACATCACAATTATGGAGTTTCATTTAATGTAAAATAATTTACAAATTAAAAGTATGGGGTTTGGCTAAATGTTAAGATTAAGGTAATGTTAGGCTTAATGTTAGGCTTAAAGTAATGTGAGTCTTAAAGAAATGTAAATCTTAAAGTAATGTAAAGCTTAAGGCAATGTTTGTAACTTTCCCCAGAGTTGGTGTTTTGATAATTTTGTCAATGCGCGCAACATGAACACAGCGCAGGAAGTGAGGAAACAGCTGCGAGAAATCTGTGAGCGCAACAAGATGACATTTTCCTCATGTGGCAGAGACACGGCAGCCATAAGGTGAGAGACAAGGTTTTGTAGCCATAAAATTAGAGCTACCTGGTTTCTTAACCCTAACAATTTCTAAAGCAGCTGTAACCTAACCTAACCATGGCCATAAGTCATGGTAACTTTTCGTTAACAAGTTAATATTAACAGTACATGTCTCTTCTTCTAAATCCTAAACCAAACCATTTGGTTAAACCTAATTGAACCACATCATTAACCAGTTCTTAATTAACCAACATTCACAACCCTAATTTGTTATAATTAACCTAAAACATTTAACCTGCACCAGTTATAGAACCAGTGATCATTGTATTGGGGCTAAATATGAAGCACATAAAATATGGTAAAATATTTGTTGATTCTTATCTTCCAAATCTTTGATGTTGAGTTTATCTTCTGTTTATTATTCATGGAAATGTGAAACAACATATCAGCTTACAGGAAAGTTAAATACAGGTTGTTGTCCTAATTTAGTTACACACTGGCTAGATTAACCTAGGGGTCAGTGACCTGTATTAAATAGAGTTGTTTTAAATTCCCTTAAAAATATTACAAGAGCTGCCATGAATGTAGTGCTCTAGTTTGGATATGTTGGTGCTCAAGTTAAAACAGCTAGAATTTACTCAATATATATCAGCAGATGTGTAATTTTTCATTTTTTAGAGGTAAAACCCCACCCATTTTTCCCATTGAGGAAAATTCTCTAAAGAGGTAAAGAGCAAATAAACATAATACATTTTGGGTTACCCCACACACTGGTTCATGATGGGATTCTGATGATTCCAATGTCATTAGGTTACCTGTGTGTGAGTGTGTGAGTGCGCTGTTCAAGGTTACACATTTGTGAACATGGCTACACATCTGTGTGTGTGTTTGGGCGTTGCACATCAATGTGTGTTATACAGGGCTACTACACATCTGAGTGCTTGTTGTACTGTGTGTGTTGCACAGTGCTACACTCTATAAATAGTTATATGGCTACACCCCTGTATAAGTGTATGGCTACACCCATGAATAAGTGTGTATGGCTACATCCAGAGTCGTGGCTAGGGGAGGGTGGGTGGGGCGGACAACCTTAGGGGTGTGACGAATGGGGTAGGAATATTTTTTTTAAAAGTTCTATTTGAGCAGCATTACTTAATTAGACCCAACCAAAGTTAATGGTTTCTCACTTTTGTTTACAAGCACCTATGTTGAAACCACCTTGTATAAAGCATGTAATGACCAGACATGTTCTGGCACTACTCACACACAGCACACAAGTGTAGAAAGGTAGAAAACATACAGACACAAAGTTGAGCCCTCAGTTATGTAGATAGAACCAAATGTTTTTTGGTAAAATCATGGGCGTGTTAGAGGTTGGGACAATCAATGGGAAGCCATGGATATCTGTAAACAAACCATTTATGCATCATTTTAAAACATTTTATTTGGGGCAGATATTTCTAAAAGTTGTGTATAATTTTGTCTTTCGCATAATTCAGGTGTTCACAAGCTGTAACTCTACCGTCTATGTTTAGCTTTGCAGAAGTTCAGTCGATCATCATGATCACATGCCCATCCCCTGATAACAAATTTATTTATTTGACTTTGTAGACATACTGCCAATACCATCTTCTGTTTAAGAGTACAGAAACCTATTAAAAGCCTTGCTAGTTATCCACAGTATGTTAGTGTTGCTTCTACTGTAGATTCTCCATCACATTTCAAAACCATTGCTCGTTCAAGGTTCAACTTATTTTTAGATAACTCAAACGGAAATTCCTGATTTCGTCCATCATGTGTAAATAAATACTACATCACATTGTCCTAGTAATAAGCCAAAGTTTATTTGTCTGATAGTAATGTACGTTGTGAGCGCGAGACGAATCGTCTTCATCAGGGATCTAACGGGCCGTCACGTGCACAGCGTTTGTGGTAATCGGGTGACCTGTCAGACGTTAGGGCGACCTTTCTACCGGCCTGGCCTCCGGAGAGCCAGTGCTGGCGCGTGCCATTAAATGCCAGGAGTAGACGGCACATCCTCTGGGGGGGAAAGGCAACCCCAGCATTGTATGGTGTAATCTGGATGCCCTTTGGCAGGTGGCACCAGGGGAGCTTACCTGTTTCCTGCGTGATCAGTGTCTGTGTGTGTGTACGGGGGGGGGGGTTCGGTTGGCTTATGTGGTTGTACAGGTTTGTTTATATGGGGTGGGGGTATAGAATTTTGGTTTATATAGAGGGGGTAGGGTATTTTTAGTTCATAAAGTGGGTGGGGGAAATCAGAACTAGTTAGTTTAAATGGGGGTGGGTGGGGAGGCTAGGTCAGGTTGGTTAATGGGGGGAGATCATAACCCATAGGTTTATATGTGAGGAATGGGGTTCAGGACAGGTGGGATTAAAAGGGTGGGGTTAATGGTAAGGTTGGATTACCTGGAGGGGGGGGGGCAGGATAGGATAGGTTTGTTTACATTTGGAAATGGTTGAACAGGTAAATTAACATGGTGGAAGGATTAGAATCATGCTGTGGATTTGTGTAAAAAAATTTGCAACTTGCCACTTCAGGTGGGTTAAAAGTCAGGATTGAAACTTGAAATACCTGTGATTAGTCTGCCTGATCTAGTAAGCCAATTTGTAAATCTCTTCTGAAGCCCAGACAACACCTACCTGTTTTACCTACATCCCCCCAGCCCTCACATCCCCGCCCCAGCCCTCACATGTATATGCACCTAAGATGCTGACATCAGCACCAACCTGTCTGATCCACCTCCAAGTTTTCTGAAAACCACCCCTTCACATCCCTGCTCCACTGAAAACCACCCATTCACATCCCCGCCCCTTCACATCCCCGCCCCACCCTGCCCTTCATGTGTCATACACATTTGAAGTGCATTACAGAAGGTTTGCCAAGTTTGCTCCAAGTCTTCTTACTTTTAAATGTCGATCCAAACATCTGTTGAACTCCTCCCCCCCCCACCCCCTGGGCTTGCCATGTTTGTTATTCCACAGAACAGTATGAAAGTCTTCTTGCATGCTGCCTACTATGTGGTGCTCTAGTTGGCTCTGTTATTCCTAACTTAAGGTGCCACAACAGTAGTGATGGCACCATGGCTTTGTTATTCCTAACTTAAGGTGCCACAACAGTAGTGGTGGCAGCATGGCTCTGTTATTCCTAACTTAAGGTGCCATACCAGTAGTGATGGCACCATGGCTTTGTTATTCCTAACTTAAGGTGCCACAACAGTAGTGATGGCACCATGGCTTTGTTATTCCTAACTTAAGGTGCCACAACAGTAGTGGTGGCAGCATGGCTTTGTTATTCCTAACTTAAGGTGCCACAACAGTAGTGGTGGCAGCATGGCTCTGTTATTCCTAACTTAAGGTGCCATACCAGTAGTGATGGCACCATGGCTTTGTTATTCCTTACTTAAGGTGCCACAACAGTAGTGATGGCACCATGGCTTTGTTATTCCTAACTTAAGGTGCCACAACAGTAGTGATGGCACCATGGCTCTGTTATTCCTAACTTAAGGTGCCATACCAGTAGTGATGGCACCATGGCTTTGTTATTCCTTACTTAAGGTGCCACAACAGTAGTGATGGCAGCATGGCTCTGTTATTCCTAACTTAAGGTGCCACAACTGTAGTGATGGCACCATTCAACAACTCAATGTGTTCAACCTCCCATAGCTTAATAAAAGAAATAAAATACTTTAAAAAAACTTTTTAAAAAACCACGTTTTTCTTGTGGAATAAAAAGTAGAAAATAACTATTTACATACATTTGATGACAAAAACGTGGGTATGTTCACCATCAAATTTCCCGACCCATCTGCCCGACCCACGTTTTTTGTCATCAAATGTATGTAAATAGTTATTTTCTACTTTTTATTCCACAAGAAAAACGTGGTTTTTTAAAAAGTTTTTTTAAAGTATTTTATTTTCTCCTTTTTAGTCCGTTGCTACACATGAAAAACGTGGTTTTTAAAAAAGTTTTTTATATAGTTTATTTTCTACTTTATCTAATGACTTGATTAAGTATGAATTGACTAAGTGTTTATAAATACACGGACTAAAAAAATCTTGAGCGACCAGGATTCGAACCTGGGTTGTCGCGGCCACAACGAGAAGTACTAACCACTATACGATCACGGCCAGCGCGCTCACATCGATTGGGGCCGAAGTAACTGTGTCAATAAGCCTCCAGTCTTGTCGGTATCTTTAGAAATCATGTCCTCAATTTTATGGTCCTTGGGGCGTAACTAAATTAAGCTAATTACGGTCTCTAATTACTAGTTTTTATGATTGCATCTGAAATTGTTAGGCGAAAGTAACCTGCATGCCAAATTTCAGATCTATAGAGCAATCAGAAGTGGGCTAATTTTCGATGTCAATTTTAACAACAAACACACAAACGCTAAGCTGAGTTAATAAAAACGTGTTAAAATTGTCCGAGTAATTTCCCTTTATACATAAATGCCATATAAATTTTAATGAGTAAAATCTGATATTTTGCTGATTTTTCTTTTATATAGAAATGGCTGAGCAGTTTGATAGAAAATAAACCTTTACTCTGCCAAAAATCATCCTTTGCTGACTTATTTATTTTGATAATTTTTTTCTCAGAAAGTGTCTTGCAGTTGGATTTTTCATGAACGCAGCTGAGCTTTCTAAAGAAGGAGATTTTTTTACTGTAAGTAACTGTGGCCAGATATATGAACTGTACACAATTCTTCTCCATTTCTTTTCATTGAGACTCTACACATATAAAGTAGTATTGATTTTGAAGAATCAAATAACCTTTACCCACAATTTAATTTTAAAAAAAACCTACATTTTGAGAAAGAATTTGAAATGTAAAGATGTTTACAGATAGCTTATTGTTGGCCACTTAAGTTAAATCTTTGTCCACTTTGTTGACTTCAGATAATCCATTACTGGAGACTTTTGTTGGACTTGAGATCATTCACTTCCCCCTGCACCAGATCATCTGTTGGTTTTTTTTAATTATGTGTTTGATTTTCAGCTGACCATTAAAGTGTCTATTGACCCACCCATTTGCCTGTTGAGATAATCTGGTATTGACATGTTATTTCAGCTGACCACTAGGACCAAAGTGTCCACCCACCCACCTGCCTGTTGAGATAATCTGGTATTGACATGTTATTTCAGCTGACCACTAGGACCAAAGTGTCCACCCACCCACCTGCCTGTTGAGATAATCTGATATTGACATGTTATTTCAGCTGACCACTAGGACCAAAGTGTCCATCCACCCACCCACCCACCCACCTGTTGAGATAATCTGGTATTGACATGTTATTTCAGCTGACCACTAGGACCAAAGTGTCCATCCACCCACCCACCCACCTGCCTGTTGAGATAATCTGGTATTGACATGTTATTTCAGCTGACCACTAGGACCAAAGTGTCCACCCACCCACCTGCCTGTTGAGATAATCTGGTATTGACATGTTATTTCAGCTGACCACTAGGACCAAAGTGTCCATCCACCCACCCACCTGCCTGTTGAGATAATCTGGTATTGACATGTTATTTCAGCTGACCACTAGGACCAAAGTGTCCACCCACCCACCTGCCTGTTGAGATAATCTGGTATTGACATGTTATTTCAGCTGACCACTAGGACCAAAGTGTCCACCCACACACCTGCCTGTTGAGATAATCTGGTATTGACATGTTATTTCAGCTGACCACTAGGACCAAAGTGTCCATCCACCCACCCACCCACCTGCCTGTTGAGATAATCTGGTATTGACATGTTATTTCAGCTGACCACTAGGACCAAAGTGTCCATCCATCCACCCACCCACCCACCTGTTGAGATAATCTGGTATTGACATGTTATTTCAGCTGACCACTAGGACCAAAGTGTCCACCCACCCACCTGCCTGTTGAGATAATCTGATATTGACATGTTATTTCAGCTGACCACTAGGACCAAAGTGTCCACCCACCCACCTGCCTGTTGAGATAATCTGGTATTGACATGTTATTTCAGCTGACCACTAGGACCAAAGTGTCCACCCACCCACCTGCCTGTTGAGATAATCTGGTATTGACATGTTATTTCAGCTGACCACTAGGACCAAAGTGTCCATCCATCCACCCACCTGCCTGTTGAGATAATCTGGTATTGACATGTTATTTCAGCTGACCACTAGGACCAAAGTGTCCATCCACCCACCTGCCTGTTGAGATAATCTGGTATTGACATGTTATTTCAGCTGACCACTAGGACCAAAGTGTCCATCCACCCACCTGCCTGTTGAGATAATCTGGTATTGACATGTTATTTCAGCTGACCACTAGTACCAAAGTGTCCACCCACCCACCTGCCTGTTGAGATAATCTGGTATTGACATGTTATTTCAGCTGACCACTAGTACCAAAGTGTCCACCCACCCACCTGCCTGTTGAGATAATCTGGTATTGACATTTTATTTCAGCTGACCACTAGGACCAAAGTGTCCATCCACCCACCCACCTGCCTGTTGAGATAATCTGGTATTGACATGTTATTTCAGCTGACCACTAGGACCAAAGTGTCCATCCATCCACCTGCCTGTTGAGATAATCTGGTATTGACATGTTATTTCAGCTGACCACTAGGACCAAAGTGTCCATCCACCCACCTGCCTGTTGAGATAATCTGGTATTGACATGTTATTTCAGCTGACCACTAGTACCAAAGTGTCCACCCACCCACCTGCCTGTTGAGATAATCTGGTATTGACATGTTATTTCAGCTGACCACTAGGACCAAAGTGTCCATCCACCCACCCACCCACCCACCTGTTGAGATAATCTGGTATTGACATGTTATTTCAGCTGACCACTAGGACCAAAGTGTCCACCCACCCACCTGCCTGTTGAGATAATCTGGTATTGACATGTTATTTCAGCTGACCACTAGGACCAAAGTGTCCACCCACCCACCTGCCTGTTGAGATAATCTGGTATTGACATGTTATTTCAGCTGACCACTAGGACCAAAGTGTCCACCCACCCACCCACCTGCCTGTTGAGATAATCTGGTATTGACATGTTATTTCAGCTGACCACTAGGACCAAAGTGTCCATCCATCCACCCACCTGCCTGTTGAGATAATCTGGTATTGACATGTTATTTCAGCTGACCACTAGGACCAAAGTGTCCACCCACCCACCCACCCACCTGCCTGTTGAGATAATCTGGTATTGACATGTTATTTCAGCTGACCACTAGGACCAAAGTGTCCATCCATCCGTCTTCCTCCCTGTTCCAGTGTAAGCCATCTTGTGTTGTGTACACCGAGCTAGTCAAGACAAGCAAGTGTTACATGAGGTAGGTCTCTAGAGGGGAGGTTGTATGTCTTTAAAGGTGATAGGTAGGTCTCTAGAGGAGAGGTTGTATGTCTTTAAAGGTGATAGGTAGGTCTCTATAGAGGGGAGGTTGTAGGTCTTTAAAGGTGATAGGTAGGTCTCTAGAGGGGAGGTTTTATGTCTTTAAAGGTGATAGGTAGGTCTCTAGAGGAGAGGTTGTATGTCTTTAAAGGTGATAGGTAGGTCTCTAGAGGGGAGGTTGTATGTCTTTAAAGGTGATAGGTAGGTCTCTAGAGGAGAGGTTGTATGTCTTTAAAGGTGATAGGTAGGTCTCTATAGAGGGGAGGTTGTAGGTCTTTAAAGGTGATAGGTAGGTCTCTAGAGGGGAGGTTGTAGGTCTTTAAAGGTGATAGGTAGGTCTCTATAGGAGAGGTTGTATGTCTTTAAAGGTGATAGGTAGGTCTCTATAGGAGAGGTTGTATGTCTTTAAAGGTGATAGGTAGGTCTCTAGAGGGGAGGTTGTATGTCTTTAAAGGTGATAGGTAGGTCTCTAGAGGAGAGGTTGTATGTCTTTAAAGGTGATAGGTAGGTCTCTAGAGGGGAGGTTGTAGGTCTTTAAAGGTGATAGGTAGGTCTCTATAGGAGAGGTTGTATGTCTATGAAGGTGATAGGTAGCTTTTGTTGTATTTTTTTAAAGTTGAGAGTTAGGTGTGTATTAAAGTATAATGTGTTTAAAAGTTTTGACAGGATGACCTAAAGACTGTTGTTTGACTGCTGCATCATTTCTATTTTAGCCATGGTTGGCAGCTTGGCATATCTCTTGAACAAATCTCCTTTCTGTCCTACTTATAAATTTGATGCTACCCAGATTTTAATTGCACTCCAAATCGTTATATTTTATTTATAAAATAGATTTAAACATCAAAGTAAATTAAATCTGATTTAAAGTTTGTTAAAAACAAATTGTTTGTTAGATGTATAATTCATGTTGAATGTTTACGCATTTAAATAATAAACAGTATCTTAAATAAAAAAAATCTGTTTTCTACTTTTCACGTTCTATTTTGTTTCTACTTTCCCAGGACTTTGAGCGTTGTTGATCCTGATTGGCTGTTTGAGGCTGCTCCAAATTTCTTCAAGAGAAAGAAAGCTCTAGCAGCAGTATCTTAGCTTTGATTTCCAGATTTCTTTTAGTTTAAGTAGCGTGTAGATCCTGGGGTTGGTCTGTAGCTGTTGCTAGAGTGGATAATGCGGGTATGTAGTTCTATCCCTTTACTGTTTTCTTCCCATCTTTCAGTTAAGTGTTTATTTTTTAAATTTAAATTTGTTTTGTTATAAAGGGTTGGATATTATTTTTTTTAAACTGTAAGAAAACTGGCACAGTTGTTGTTGGTTGTAAAGGACAACATATTTAAAGAAAGATATTGGAGTGATCTCTTTGTATGTGTCACCATTGCCTTGAATAAGAAAACATGAAATATATTGGCCCTTCATTAGAGAAGTTGTTCTAGGGCAGGTCCAATCTTGTATTAATTGATGTGGGGGTGTTGTGTTGAATGTGTGTTTTGGGTTATTGAGATTACAATGTTATATGAATATAGACAGCTTGAGTGATTTGTGAGTGGAATGGATGATGGATTAACTGCACTGTTTGTGTGTTGAGGATGGCTGTTTTGATTTAAAAGTCTGTAAGAAATAAATTTAAAAAGTTTGTGTGAAGAGTATTTAACTTTATTAGAATATATCAATGCAATGTGTAAAATAAGAATTAGTTCTTGAAATTTTCTGTTCATTTTTTTTTGCTCTGTAATAGAAAATTATTGAGTACTTACTAATTGTAATTAACTGAGTTAATGACACTTAATGTCTTGTTAACATTTATCTCTAACTTATGAACTCTGATAGATGAAATATTTTTCTGATGTGTATATATTTATTTGATGGCAGATTAAAGCCACTTGTACATAGCATTAAACCTTGTTGCAACTAGTCAACTGTTTTACTTAAATAATCTCGGACTGTTAGATATAAAATACCCCCAGTGGTCTGAATTGACTATTAGATCTTAAACAATACAATTGGCCCACGTAGATCTGATATGACCTATGTATTGAGGATGACCGATCTAGCAGTAGCTCAAGTAATCCCTTCAAGTGTACACACCATTTAACATAATTCTACAACAGAGGCTTCATTACCAGCAACACACAGAGGCAGTTGGATTTTTCTCAACTCAACAAGTTCATCTAACTTTAGCAACTGCTGCCATGTAGTTTGTTCTTGGTTGGACAAAGGCAATGGAAGCTAATCCAAAAAGAAAAGCAGGCTGAAATCTGAGTCAACTGCCTAAATGGCGCATAACAAGTTGACATGTAATACTTAATTGTGTTGGAGGGAAATCTCTTCCAACACTAAAATTAAGAAGAAACTAGACATAACGAAGAGAGGTTTGAGCTTGGAGTGGAATTGCTAGCCTATTATGGTGTGTAAAATAGTTACCCTTATGAACCTAGCAGTCAACTGGGCTGATGAAGTAGCATTCACCTGTTTGTGTGACTGCCTTTACTTTTCTTACGCGAGTCTGGTACCCATTAGAGCTGGGTGGGCTCAGGGATGTCGTGTGGACTCCAGCCAAGTATATGAACTCAAAACTTGTGGGTGAGCACCACTATCCAACCACACTGTCCCACTACATGTGCAATATATTAAAACTCTAATTTTGATCCACATTAAAAACAGCAGAAGTTAAATTTTAAAAATTTATTTTGCGTAAGCTAGAACTACAGTCTGAACTTTCTGCCACAACTTTCAAAAGTTAGCCACACTCCACATCACCATACTCATCCATTCCCAACTAATTATCATAATCCAAACAAGGATAAGCACAGAATTATCTACATAAACAAATCATTACATAAAACTTGACTATTAGGAGAATTAAATAATACAGGTATCTATAGATTATCCATGATGCAAAAATTTGTCCACACAATTTTGCTTACATGGAGCATGTATCACATTTAACTCATTTTAGAAATGAAAAAAATCTCCAGATGAAGAGATTAATCTTTACTTGTAAAAGTATTTTATCTTTAAAAATATATACACTAAAAACTATAACTATTGTGGTTTAAACACAAGGAAACAATTTCACACAGCTTAGTCAGGATTTGTTTTCGTGTTTTAAACTTTTTAAAAATAAAACAGAAAAATTCTCTGACTGGTATAACTAAAATGGTTTATCTATCAGCTATCAAGGAAAAAAACTATTCTAAACCATTGTGGGGATTGATCAAATAAATATTCTAAGTAATCTAAGTGACCTGCAAATAAACTTCAACCACACAAAAAACTGGGTAGAGTAAGGTTTTAAAATCTTAAATCCCTTCTTACTAATTGCTCTAGCACAACATAACAATTTTTTAAATTTTAAAACAATCACACAAATCGCAATACATATTAGATAAGAATACTATTATTCAGTTTTAAATACTGATATTAAAGAAAATAAAGCAGAATTCTACCCAGATTCAGCAGTTATGGATTAAAACAATTTCCTTTTTTATTTATTTTAAAATTGATATTTTTACATTGATTTACTCATTAACATTTAATAAAAATTGAATTGAAAATAATTTACAAGTGGAGCAAAATATAATATAACTGAAAAAATATCTAAACAGGTTTTTTATAACTCTGGATGTGAAAAAAAATGTCAGCATCTTTTGTGACACTTGAATCACAGAGTAACATCACACAACTTGCCAACATTATCATTAGCTTAGCACCATTTGTTTTCTCTTTCCAGTTCAAATTACAAGTTAACTTATTCACAGCTTTCAAGTTTAACATGTTACTTATTCACAGCTTTCAAGTTAAATGAACCAGTTAACTTATTCACAACTGTCAAGTGTAACTAGAAATTTACTAATACAAGTTTGTTTACTTCTTGTTTTGACAAATTCAAGAAACATATTCAGTTTATTTTTTATCAAAAATTGGTTTAAAATCTACACACAACGAAACAAAACTTTCTCTTAAATATTAATTGCTACTACACATGTAACCAGTGTCTAGGTAGGCTTTGACTTTAAAACAGCAACCAACCCTCTCCTCAGTCACTGAAGTATAAAAACTCAAAGTTTAGAGTTTAGGCCCCTACTCACTTAACTCAATTTGAAGCAAACAATTTTTTTTAAACTGTACTAAAACCAATTTAAAAAAAAACTGCAAGTGATGTTAACATTAAGCCACAAATATTCAGCTATATTAATTTGCATAATAGCTTCATGCATATCAGTCAGTCAACAAGTAACAGAACAGAATAAATTAGCCAGTAGAAGAGCCCTATACCAGCTTACAGGCTTGTAGTAGAAGAGCCCTATACCAGCTTACAGGCTTGTAGTAGAAGAGCCCTATGTCACCTAACAGGCTTGTAGTAGAAGAGCCCTATGTCACCTAACAGGCTTGTAGTAGAAGCGCTCTGTCACCTAACAGGCTTGTAGTGGTAGAGCCCTATACCAGCTATCAGCCTTGTACTAATTGACAAAAACAGGCAATAGACAGAGGTTGGTTTGTAATCAACACAACAACAAAGCAATAGGTTTCTTAAAAAGTTTGCATTCTATTTTCCAGTACAACTTTTTGATATGTTTTATGCCTTTTTAAAAGAAAAAAAAGCTATTGGTCTTTATTTTGGTTCGTATATTCTATATTTAATAGTCTATATTTGAGGAATTACAGTCATGTAGTTAAATAGGCAATGGTAAATATTTCCTTTCTTTGGTAAATAAAGTAGGTAGAATTTAAAAAGAAAATGTTGAGAGAAAACTAAATTGGTTGGTAAAACTATATTACATATTAACGCAGCAAAATGCAGAAAGCAAGTAAAAGTTTTTGCTGTCATTACTAATAATTGCTCCAACCAGATCATTGAATATTTATACAATAAAATATTAACTTTTCACCACCATACATATATACAATTTTTTAAAACTCTTATCAGTTTATTGCTCATCCATGTTAAACATTTGCTTTAAAAGTGCTCATATAAAAGTAGAAAACTGGTAGAAAATTGATTTAAATTTCTTTTTACAAGTAGATCTATTAAAACTTTAAACTTGTATTTAAAAAATGGAATATACAAAAACTGCACTATAGAAGAAACAAAACCATTGAAATTAAATCATTACAGGAACTGTAAGCTACTAAGTTTGTATATTGCCGTATTAAAAAAAAAGTAAATTTGTTTCTTTAAAAAATTGCTATTTTTGATATAATTAAAATATGTTGTCTAGCTGCGGCCACACTCTGGGCAGACGATGTCCTCGCCGTTCATGAGAAAACCTCGGCCGACCATGCTGGCCTCACACTTGTAGCAGTTGAAGCAGTCACTGTGCCAGTGTCTCTCCTCAAATGAAATAAACTTTGTGCCACCAATGCCTGTAGATTGGGAAAATATTTGAGAATAAGTTCATTAAAAGGCTTAATATTCTTATATACAATAGCTTCATGTGTAAAGTAGGCCTACATGAACAGAGGTAGGCAGGAAATTATTTTGGAGGTTCTGTTTAGACTCAGGATCAGGGCGTAGCGAGGGGGGGGGGGGGCGGGGGGTGCGGACCGCACCGGGTGACACCATTTAGGGGGGTGACACCAAGGCAAAAAATAGCAAAATATATAGAGAAAAACTTGAAGGGGGTGCAAATCAATAGTTTGAGGGGGGGGGGTGCAAATTGAAAACTTGAAAGTTTGTCCCCGAGAAGGGTCGCTACGCCTCTGGGGGGTGACACCATTAAGTGCCACACCGGGTGACACTCGACCTCGCTACGCCACTGCTCAGGATACATCAGTAGTGGAATCCTAGAGGCTCATACCATAGCATTAAATAAAGAAGTCATGGATTGAACACGCATCGTGACCCCTCTCACAACCTTTGTTGATGTAGTTCTATGGTACCAACTTAGGCTGCGGAAGCTGCCAAAAATCAACCAGGGTTGGTAATCTTATAACTTCAGGGGCTCAACTCCTGATTGATTTCAGAGTTTTCTCTCCTATATTGGTAGCTGTCCCCAGCTAATTTCCAGTGTTTCTTCCAGACTTTTTTCTCCAGGAGAGGGGGGTGGACTTTCTTCAGGGGGGGGGGGGGGGGGCAATAAAATCTGCCTGAGAGAAAGAGCAGCTTACCAGTGATAGGCTTGGTGCAACGACAGCATCTCTTGGCGAACAGCTCGCCGTAGCAGTCCCCGCAGAAGGGCTGCTCGTCCTTGGAGGTGAACTTCTCCCCGGCCAGCTGCTTGCTGCAGTGGGTGCAGGTGAAGCACTCGCGGTGCCAGGGGGTGTTCTTGTAGCTGATGCCCCCCTTGTTGATCACCTTTAGAGAAGATTTAAAACATTAAAAGTTACTTTATTAAAATATCCATGAACTACCTCACATTGAAGGCTTGAAAAAATGCCCCACATGTATGTTGAGAACTTTAATCTTCCTCGTTTTATTGTTTGAAACACCCTATGCCCAGACTGGAGCTGCCTATGTCCAACACCCCTGTTAATAGTCACAGTTATGATGCCAAAGTGTGACGTCACACTATCTGACCCCCCTCCCCCTCATCACACACCGTCACAAAATTACGGACCCCCCCCTCCCCTACCAGTGTGACGTCATTTATGGACGACCCCCAAATCTAAAAGGTTAATAGTAAATATAACCACTATTCTTAAACTATTCTTCAAACTGTACCCCCACCCTCCTCAATTATGGCTGTCTGGTGTAAGGAATAGACCCTACTATAAAAATACCAGGGTGTAAGTGTAAGGGGTACTACTAGATCTAAATATTCTGTGTCTGAAAGGTAGCTTACATCTCCACACTTGCTGCACCTTTGTGCGTATTTGCTTTCATAGCACGGCACGCAGATGACACGTTCGTCACGTGGGATGAAACTCTTGTTTCCGATTGGCTGGTTGCACTCGGTGCAGATGAAGCACCAATCATGCCATTGCTTGCCCTTGTACTCAAACTTCTTCATACCTGAGAGAAATAGAACATTTGTCCGGGTCATTCCACAGATTAAAAATGCAAACTCGTGGATATTCGATATATATAAGCCTACATGTTTTAAAATAATTGCAGTGTTTACAAAGAAAATAAATTTCTCTAAACTGAGTTTCGGGTCCCATAAATATAGGTTATTAAAATGGTGTCGTCACACAGACAAAACATATTTAAAAAAGCTCTGATTAGTTTTAAATTACTCATCTTATAATTTCTAACACACTTTCAAAGTCTTAACCCAATGACCTGTAATACCGTCTACTTTTGCATGCACGTTTCTAAATTACGTTCACTGACCAAAATTACTTTTTAAAAAACCATAACTATTTGACACAAACATTAAACTTTAAACAAAAGCATTAATTAGCCAGCGTCTCCAAACTGATAAAGGTATGACTAACATCGAGCATAAATGTAAGTAACCGACTAGTAGGCGGTTAAAGTAGTGATGTGCTTCTACTAGAGTTTATATCGTATTACATGTGTATAAGACTTCTACATAAAAGAATGTGGGTAGAGTTATGGCAGGGAATTATGGTTATGGCTGCTAGCAAAATATTGTATGCCCTATCACTAATGCTGTTAGCAGAATAATGTATGCCTTATCATTAATACTGCAAGGAGAATAATGTATGCCCTATCACTAATGCTGCTGGCAGAATAATGTATGCCCTATAACTAATACTGTTAGCAGAACACTTTATGCCCTACAAAATATATTTCCAGATTGAAACTGCTTTTTTTTTAAAATTCTAAACATCCGTCAGTTAGAAATATGTAAAAAGTTAAAAAAAAACTATTTCTATTTCTTACGTTTCATGCATTTGCGGCAAACATAATTTCCCTAAATCTGCTGCTGATATTTATTTTTAAAAATTTGTAATGAGGTTGAGTGCGGTTTAAGGTAGAAAAAAATATGTCGGACATTTAAAGCGAACGGGTCTGGTTACGTGTTCAAATAGATTAATTTAAAACGGGTGTTATCTTAAAGTGGGCCTTCTATCGGTTGCAGGTTGAACTATGACGTGAAGGCTGAGACCACGTGGTCGGTCGGTCAAGCTCATAACAGCTAAACCGAGAAGTCCCGAGTTTGAACCACAGGGCAGATGAGTCTCGATAGATGGCGACAGCAACTCATCTAGGAAACTACAAAATCGGCAAAGACCAGAGTTTCTTCCAGGTATCTCTTCGGGGGGGAGGGTGGGGGGTGTGGGGGGTAGAAGGTCTACCTCCCCCCCCCCTAACGAAATGGAATTTATATAGAAAATATATACTTTTAACAGTGTCCGCCGCCCAGAAATTTTAGTCCCTTCGAAAATTTCAAGTGCACCCCCGGAGAAAAAAGTCTGGAAGGAACAAAGAAAGACTATGGAAGCAAGTCCAAAAAGAAAGCAGCGAAATCGGAGTCAACGAAAATACTTGTGTTAGAGGAAATCCCGTCCACCATTACAATTGAGAACGAAAAAAGATAAAGAAGAAGAAGCTGAGATTTGATGAGATTTCAAAGGAATTGCTGGCAGATTCGTTTCAGAGAATTTGTAATGTTGGACGGGATTTCTTCCAACACGACTAAGTATTATGTGTCAACCTGTTATGCGCCATATAGACCGTTGACTCCGATTTCAGCCTGCTTTTCTTTTTGGATTTGCTTCAATGGCCAAGAACAAACTATACGCCAGTAGTTGTTTGATTTTGGAGTTTTCCAAAGCTACCGAGCCTCATCTGCCGAGGTATAACTTCTAAATTTTTAAACTAAATACAATGATAGGCTATATATTTTTAAACTTGCTTTTGCGTGTGTCTTAAAACCAAATGTGCTATTTACAGTGTTAACATAAATGTTACGTTAGCAATCTGCTGTTTAGTGCATGTTAGCCTATTTATAATTTTTGCGATCTATGCAAAATTTTGTCAACAATGAGTAAGTGGTGATTCACTCACCGATCGAACTCAATTTTGGCACCTACATACGGGGGGGGGGGGGGGGCAGGGGGGTGACTAGCCAGGGCCTGTTATGGTGAGCACGGGGTTCAACAACTGGTGTGAGCTCACGTTTTGTGTGGGGCTCACGATCTGTGTGGGGATCTGTGTGGGGTGGGGGCTCACGATTGTGTAGGGCACACGATCTATGAGGGGTGTGGGGCACACGATCTATGAGGGGTGGGGGCTCACGATCTATGTGGGGTGGGGGCTCACGATCTATGTGGGGTGGGGGCTCACGATCTATGTGGGGTGGGGGCTCACGATCTATGTGGGGTGGGGGCTCACGATCTATGTGGGGTGGGGGCTCACGATCTATGTGGGGTGGGGGCACACGATCTATGAACCCCCTTGATGGTAGCGATGGGGTGGGAGTCACGAGTAACATTCTAATTAACCCTATTTTCTAATTAACCCTATCCTGTGAATGACCCTCCCCTCCCCGCAGGTGATGAGATCTAGAATTAACGCGAGCTTGTTTCTCACCAACAACCAGGTTCTCGGCTCTAAATCACCTCCCCCCCACCCACACTTACCTCCCCTTCTACTCAACAGAGCCATCTCTATTTAAATCCTGAATCACACATTGTTTACACCTCTCTGAATATCTTATTCACATACTTTCATCTCTCTCTCTTTTTCCACCTCTTCACACCCTCCCTTTTAACAGAACATAGGAAATCGAGTCTGGTGCCAAATTTGAGAGAGAAAAACACCAATCTTGTTAAAGAAAATTGGCATCTTCAGATAAGTTAATTAGTCTTGAGTGAGTGTTGTATTATCGTGCGTGTCTATGTGTGTGAGTGCGTGAGTGCGTGGGTGTGTGAGATGGGGGGGGGGGGGTGAGTACATGTGACGTCACTCACGTCTTAAACAAGGTATCATCAAGACTAGCATTGGCAGCATCCCATGTCTTTAACTTAATGATGATTTATTTTTATCCAATTAACCTGACATGACTTCTATCCGACTAACCTGATTAATGACTTATCCCTATCCACCTAACTTGAATTAATGACTTATTCCTATCCACCTAACTTGAATTAATGACTTATTCCTATCCACCTAACATGACTGGATGAATTATTCCTATCCACCTTATTAGGCGCTGTTCAAACGTGAACTGCTGACCTCTATATGACTCAACCAATATCACGTGATGGACTCTTGTGTGATTACACGTGCATCTTAACCAACATGTGAGTGAGTACACGATGACAGGTGGCACATACACACAGACACGCACACACACAAACACATGTTTATAATACACATTTTTTAACACTACAGAGCAAATGCTGATTCAGCAATTTTCTACAGGCGTTAATAGCAAATCCATAAGGCGAAAATTGAATTCAGCCATCGTGTAAACAGATGTTAAAATGTGAGATTTTACGCAAGCAGGGGCCAACAACGCTGGGTTCTCATAACGAGAAATATTAGCCGGTATAACAGTCTATGTTTAATGATTTTTTAACATAAGAATTCCAATAAGTTGATAAATAGTAGGCCTTTATGTAATATGTTTAAAAAACAATAGATGGTCCCTAAATGACGTCATACTTCTAGGGGAGGGGGGGGTTCGGAATTTTGTGACGTGTGAAGAGGGGGGGGGGGGGGAACTGAGTGAAAATTTGACTGTTGTATATTTAAAAAAAATAATGTTAGAGTATGGATTTTTGACGTTATTTAGTGTTTTATGTAGCTGTTTTTGTTGTTTGTATTCGAAATTGAATGAAATCAGTTACTGTTTTTTAGGAGGGAAAGGGGGGGGGGTGGGGTTAAAATCATCAAAAAACAATATGAAAGCATTTATTGCTTATCCCCATATGTAAGAAAAAAAAATCTAAAGATGTGTCTTGGTATTACACTAACAATGTATGCTATACGTTTGAAAACAAAACTAGCAGGAGTCAGACTTGAAGACGGCCAGGGACCCAGACACAGGTAACTGTTAACTTGGCTCTCATCAGCTAGGAAACGGCCGGTACGGTAACTAGACTAACCAATCAGATTCCACAGCCAATTTTCGCTGGCTTGTAGAAAACAGACGGGCTCTGTTTATCTTCAGGCTCAAAACAACAAAGGAGCAGGGTGTGGGGTGGGGCGGGATTTAAGCGGGGAGGGGGCATTGACTGATATTTGATGTTCATGAAGATTTTTTTTATGTAATGTGATGTACAGGTAATTCGTATTATTTTTAAGACAAAATTTTTAATAAAAATAATAATAATAATTATTTTGATCTGTTTTTTGAATATGATAAATCATAGTTTAAATTGTATTAACAGGTATTATATATTTTTCTTTCAAGTAAGACTTCTGGCTTTGAAAGAAATATCATTGAGTAAAACGATGCACAATTCGGTGCTATTGGCGACAATAAAAATCAGGTATAAACCATATAGATAGACAAGTAAAGAAATTTGGTAAGGACATTTGGAATAGTAAACTCAAGCAATGTGACAAGAAAAAGGAAGTAACGTAGCAAAGTAAAGTGACAAAACAAATTAACAAACACGGTACACAACGTGACAAACAAGGCTGTTGACGTAACAAAGCAGCGTGACTAAAATGACACCATGTGACAAAGCAGTGTGACAAACATGGCTCTTGACGTGACAAAACAGCGTGACAAACATGACATTTATTTAAAAAAACACATCAAAATCAACGTGACAAACATTCAAACAATCCACTTATCGTGAAAAAAGCAGCATTAAAAAACCATCGAGACAAACATGGCTCTTAGCGTGACAAAGCGACGTGACAAACATGACACAACGTGACCCACCTCCACGGAACGGCTCCCCACATCCGTCACACCTGGCAGCGAAGTTGTTGTCATGGCAATCAGAGCAGTAGATCTTGTCGTTCTTGGAGGCGAAGGGCTGGTCGACCAGCGACTTCTGGCAGCCCACACACTTGAAGCAGAACTCGTGCCAGTGGCGCTCTTTGTAGGACAGGTCCTGTAGGACAGGAGGTCAGGGGTCAGGGGTCGGTGTGTGTGAGGGGGATGTCCTGTAGGACAGGAGGTCAGGGGTCAAAGGTCGGTGTGTGAGGGCGTGGGGATTTGTGGGTAAGCTGTGTGAGCTAGTGGCGCTCGTTGTAGGACAGGTCCTGTAGGACAGGAGGTCAGGGTCAGGGGTCGGTGTGTGTGAGGGGGTGTCCTGTAGGACAGGAGGTCAGGGGTCAAAGGTCGGTGTGTTTGAGGGGTGTGGATTTGTGGGTAAGCTGGGTATGCCAGTGACGGTCTTTGTAGGACAGGTCCTGTAGGACAGCAGGTCAGGGGTAAGGGGTCGGTGTGTGTGAGGGGGTGTCCTGTAGGACAGGAGGTCAGGGGTCGGTGTGTGTGTGGGGGGGTGGGGATTTGTGGGTAAGCTGGGTATGCTAGTGATGCTCTTTGTAGGACAGGTCCTGTAGGGCAGGAGGTCAGGGGCATGGGTCAAAGGTCGGTGTGTGTGAGTGGTACGGATTTGTGGGTAAGCTGGGTATGCCAGTGACGGTCTGTAGGACAGGTCCTGTAGGACTGGAGGTCAGGGGTCAAAGGTCGGTGTGTGTGAGGGGTGTTTTGTAGGACAGGAGGTCAGGGGTCAAAGGTCGATGTGTGTGAGGGGTGTGGATTTGTGGGTAAGCTGTGTATGCTAATGACGCTCTTTGTAGGACAGGTCCTGTAGGACAGGAGGTCAGGGGTCAAAGGTCCGTGTGTGTGAGGGGTGTGGATTTGTGTGTAAGCTGGATATGTCAGTGACGCTCTTTGTAGGACAGGAGGTCAGGGTCATGGGTCAAAGATTTGAGGGGGTGGGGATTTGTGGGTAAGCTATGTATGTCAGTGTGGATGTGTGAAGGAACGTGTATTGTCATGGATCAAGTTAATTTTGTGTGGTTGACATTGGATTTTGTGGAGAATATAGCAAATTTCTCTCAAGGAGTGATTTGTAGGTGGGACATCATAGATTGATGTGTTTATAGACCTATTGAAATGCTTTCATTGTTATTGTGACATTTGTTTGTACGACGTTACCAGTGAGTAAATACTGTATGTAGGCAATGCATGCATGGATAAATGAGAAAGACGTATGTAGTATGTATATCTCAGGATGGATAGTTATCTTGTATGTGTGGATATAAGAGAAATGTGTATACACATTCACATGGATGTTTAGGATATATAATAAAAGTATATCCACATCTCAATGAATGTATGGATTGAAGACACAAGTGTATAATACATCTCAATGGTTGTGTGTCAGACTGACCTTGTAGTCAGGACCAATGGGCTTGCCACACTCGTCACAGTTGTGGGCAAACAACTGCTGGTAGCAGGGGATGCAGTAGGGATGCTCCTCCTTGACGATGTACCTGCAGGCCACTAGCTGCTTGTCGCAGTTCCAGCAGGCCAGGTGGTCTTTGTGGAAGTTCTCCTCCATGGCTTTGGTGTACTCGGCGGAGAAGATCAGCTGTTGGAGGAGATAATGGTAATCTTAAGGTGGAGAAGATCAGCTGTAGGGGGAGATAATCGTAACCTTAAGGTGGAGAAGATCAGCTGTTGGGGGAGATAATGGTAACCTTAAGGCGGAGAAGATCAGCTGTTGGGGGAGATAATGGTAACCTTAAGGTGGAGAAGATCAGCTGTTGGGGGAGATAATCGTAACCTTAAGGTGGAGAAGATCAGCTGTTGGGGGAGATAATGGTAACCTTAAGGCGGAGAAGATCAGCTGTTGAAGGAGATAATGGTAACCTTAAGGCGGAGAAGATCAGCTGTTGAAGGAGATAATGGTAACCTTAAGGTGGAGAAGATCAGCTGTAGGGGATAATGGTAACCTTAAGGTGGAGAAGATCAGCTGTTAGGGGAGATAATGGTAACCTTAAGGTGGAGAAGATCAGCTGTAGGGGAGATAATGGTAACCGTAAGGCGGAGAAGATCAGCTGTTGAAGGAGATAATGGTAACCTTAAGGTGGAGAAGATCAGCTGTAGGGAGATAATCGTAACCTTAAGGTGGAGAAGATTAGCTGTTGGGGAGATAATGGTAACCTTAAGGCGGAGAAGATCAGCTGTTGGGGATAAATTGGTAACCTTAAGGTGGAGAAGATTAGCTGTAGGGGGAGATAATCGTAACCTTAAGGTGGAGAAGATTAGCTGTAGGGGGAGATAATGGTAACCTTAAGGTGGAGAAGATCAGCTGTAGGGGGAGATAATGGTAACCTTAAGGTGGAGAAGATCAGCTGTAGGGGGAGATAATGGTAACCTTAAGGCGGAGAAGATCAGCTGTTGGGGATAAATTGGTAACCTTAAGGTGGAGAAGATTAGCTGTAGGGGGAGATAATCGTAACCTTAAGGTGGAGAAGATTAGCTGTTGGGGAGATAATGGTAACCTTAAGGCGGAGAAGATCAGCTGTTGGGGATAAATTGGTAACCTTAAGGTGGAGAAGATTAGCTGTAGGGGGAGATAATCGTAACCTTAAGGTGGAGAAGATCAGCTGTAGGGGGAGATAATGGTAACCTTAAGGTGGAGAAGATTAGCTGTAGGGGGAGATAATGGTAACCTTAAGGTGGAGAAGATCAGCTGTAGGGGGAGATAATGGTAACCTTAAGGTGGAGAAGATCAGCTGTAGGGGGAGATAATGGTAACCTTAAGGCGGAGAAGATCAGCTGTTGGGGATAAATTGGTAACCTTAAGGTGGAGAAGATTAGCTGTAGGGGGAGATAATCGTAACCTTAAGGTGGAGAAGATTAGCTGTAGGGGGAGATAATGGTAACCTTAAGGTGGAGAAGATTAGCTGTAGGGGGAGATAATCGTAACCTTAAGGTGGAGAAGATTAGCTGTAGGGGGAGATAATCGTAACCTTAAGGTGGAGAAGATTAGCTGTAGGGGAGATAATGGTAACCTTAAGGTGGAGAAGATTAGCTGTAGGGGGAGATAATCGTAACCTTAAGGTGGAGAAGATTAGCTGTAGGGGGAGATAATCGTAACCTTAAGGTGGAGAAGATTAGCTGTAGGGGGAGATAATCGTAACCTTAAGGTGGAGAAGATTAGCTGTAGGGGGAGATAATCGTAACCTTAAGGTGGAGAAGATTAGCTGTAGGGGAGATAATGGTAACCTTAAGGTGGAGAAGATCAGCTGTAGGGGTAGAAATGGGTGGTCTTAGTGTGTAGAGGATCAAGAAATGTTGGTCTTAAGGCTAGAAGATCAAGAATTGGAAGAAACAATGGTAGTCTGAAGGTGGAGAAGATCATGAAAATGGTGCTCAAGTTACAGAAAGTTGAATCATATAAAAGGCAAGTCATGTCCTCAAGAAGGCGCGAGCCACGTAAGCTGAGTGAATGTATTGTCTTTATACTCTTAAGACATCTGAGTGAATACGAAGAACGACACGGTCTGGAAGTCAGCACTGACACTTTCGAGGTGACAGGTGCGAGTTCCATTATTCGACCACACCGTCCCCTCTCCCCCTCCTAAAAAACATTTCATAGCAGTAAAAAGATTCTAAAGGTCGCTGTTATTTTAGATTGTTATGGTTATGTTGACAGAGGTTCCAGTGTAACTTATGGAAGTAAACCAAAGTTTGCAGATATTTTTTTACTGTCTAAACGATCTAGAATCTAATCTTGGCTAGAAACATATCGAAATCAATGGTAGACGGGTATGCCATACCAAAGCACTTCTCGCAATGAAAACACAACCTCTGACAGACCACCTAGATTAGATAAAAATCATTTGATTTCAGAAATCAAAACAAAAATTAGATAGTAAAAACCAATTGAATCTCACACAATAAGTCCCCCTCTAGCCTTTTACTTACATTTCACTAAAGTTAGACACTGTGAGGTTCATACGCTGTGTGTTGACGCAGGCCACGAACACACTAGCCTACACATCAAACAACACACTGACCTACACAGCCAGTATCGCTGACCGAAGCTTATATTGATCGTCAGAACCAAAAGATCCCGTTTCACACGGCGGGTAACCCGCCCCTCCTAGAGCTCAAAAAACACGGACAAACACCGAACATGGCGAGCTGCCCTGAACTGCATCAAACACGGACATTTACAGAGACCCGCCTGGGGATTCCTTGGATGTAACTAGTAATAAAATTAATCAATGGATGGGCAACGGCGTGTTGTCTTGGTAGTCTAAAAATAGATTGTTCTACGCCAAAACGAGGTTTAAGTGAATAGATAAATATTGGATATTTACTTATCTTGAGGATAAGCATAAAGATGTGTTACAGAAGGAATAACGGCTTCGGCATTACCTCACTCTTTAACCAGTGGCGTGAGGGAGAGGGAGGGACGGGGTGAGGGTAGGGAGAGTTGTAATGTCAATACTTTGACTAAACTGACACTTCAAAAACACTAAGACTTTAAAGCTGAGGTGGATAGAATGTCAGATTCAGGCAAAAGATGCGCACGTATGTCGGAAATAGGAGCGTGTTGAATTACAGACGGCAACATTGAACAGTAGCATAGTGCGTGATGTTCTTGCTGGTAATTAAGACAGTCTTTCGGTAAATAGATGAATCATTCAAACTGCTGAGGGAATTCCGACAATTTTAGTACAATTTGATATATAATCACGGCCAATGAAGGTCTAGCGACTGACTTTATAGTAAGCTGGGATGTTGCCAAAGGAACCAGAAACATCTATATTGTTGCCTCACAATTATATTTAGATCAACTGAGGTTCTCGGTACTTAACCTAATGCATGCTGTACATTGGATCGATATGTGTATAGACTTTTTCACTTGCTCTCTCACTGTAAAACTATATCCCTTTCTGTCTCTCTCACATATATCCTCTTACAAAGCACTCCGTCGAACACACACACACGCTCTAAGAAACACACTCACCTTCTAACAAACAGTCACAATTAAACACACACACACACCATCTAACACACTCATTATATAACACACACTCCCTCTTGACAAACACACACACACCTTCTAAAAAACATTCTCCCTTAAACACACACATCATCTAACACACATTATATAACACACAGTCGCCCTACCTCTTGACACACACCCTCACACTAACAAAAACACAATCTCTAACTTAAACTCTCCTACATAGCTCCACCCTGAGGTAGATTATGAATACAACGGAGACAGAAGCCATGAGTATGTAAACAGCTTTAATTGTTAACCGGCAAGGACGGAAGTACAATGCACAAGGGACATCACTCAAGATAACAATATTATAAATATAACTAATACAGAAGAGTGAGTTCCCTTGACCTCACAATTATTTCAATCTATTACATCCCTTTACCCTTAGAACACAATAACACATCTCTCAATAGAACAATTGATAGTATCCTAAAATCACCAATTATATTGTAACATGAACACTATGGTAGATTACATCCTTACAAACAATGCACAATATGCTACAACATAATCAAGATACAAAACAATAATGTCAAAGTCCTTTTGACCTTTAAAATCATAGGTCTAACTTATTTGGGACTTTGATTGTCCTGCTTGACCTTCTCAGTGGCTTTTGATTTGGTGACTCAAGATTCTGACCATCTGGATTCTCTATCTCAGGAGGTCTAGGATTTAAATCATTAACTCCAGAATTTACATTTTCTGACTCCAGACAACTTGGTTCACTCATATCAACAGAACTTGGTTGTGGAACAAACTGAGTTGGTGTGAACTGATCAGACTTGGTGGGATTGACAGATTCACACTTATTATCTGCACAAGTTATTTTTAACTTTATAAGACACAGGTCCTGTACCTTGAACAATTTGACCTGGTATCCATTTTTCCTTTCTCCCATAATTTCTTAGATACACATTCTTATTAACACCAAATTCTCTTTCAATGCATGAGTTGTCATGATTTAATGGAACTATTTTTAAATTGGCATCTGAAAATATTATGCTATTATTCAGATCCTTAATTGACATAGATTTCTTTGATTGATCAATTTTCTCAGGTAATCTGATAGTGCTTTCCTGGTAACCAAAAATACTGTTTAAAGTAATATTCTGGACCATATCACTTTGCAACTGTGATCCAGTATTTGAAGTGGGTGTATTAAATGGCAAAAATCTTTTTCTTTTCTTTTGATGTTACCCTTTTAGTTTCTGTAAGTGCTAATGATGTTAGCAAAGTTGTTTGATGATCACATTCCTTCTTACTAATGTATTCTCTTTAAAACATTTGAAATTGCCATATCACCATAATCATTTATTAAGTTACAAATACTTTGTTTAGGCAACTCTGACTGATAATGGACTGCATCTTCTCCATCTTTTATATTATCTTCACAAAGGGTTTTATTTCTTATTTTATATGGCCTTAAGTCATCATTCACAGACTCTTCAGGCCAACCATTCTTACAGTACTCATATACTTTTATTAAGCACTCATCTTTTTGTGTTTCTCTTTTAATATCATTCACATTTATATTGGAGTTATCCATGATAGTGAAGAGAACAAATACATCTTCTGGTACATAGCTCAGGCTTTGGTTTTTTAAAGGTAATCTACTCAGACTATCTGCACTATTCTCAGATCCAGGTTTGTATTTCAATTCATAATTGTATGCAGTTAGTGTGATAGCCCATCTTTGAATTCTTGGTGAGGCATGCTCAGGTAGGGTTTTGTTTTCTCCAAATAAACCTAGCAATGGTTTATGATCTGTAAAGATGGTGAACTTCCTACCAAACAGAAACTTATGACATTTCTTAACACCAAAAATGATGCCTAAGCCTTCCCTATCTAACTGAGAATAATTTTTCTCAGCCTGGTTCAAAGATCTACTGGCAAAAGCAATGGGTCTGTCACCCTTCTCATCCATGTGGGACAAGACTGCTCCTACACCATCTGGTGAAGCATCACATGTTAATATAAGTCTTTTCCCTGGGTCATAGTGAGTTAGTAAGGTGTCAGCAGACAAAGCCTCTTTTGCTGTATTAAAAGCAGCTTCTTGTTGTTTACCCCAGTGCCAAGTTGCATTTTTCTGTAGCAGCTTGTACAGTGGTGATAGTTTACCAGACAGATTTCCTATGAACTTTGCATAGTAATTTATCAAGCCCAAAAAAGCTCTTAGTTGTTGGGTATTTTCAGGTTTGGGTGCTTCTTTAATGGCTTTTGTTTTCTCAGGTTGAGGTCTGATGCCTTGCTTGCTTAATATATATCCAAGAAAACTAATTTCTGTCAGCATGAATTGACATTTATCTTTGTTTATCTTTAAACCTTTTTCACCAACAATTTTCAATACTTTATCAAGTGTTTTAAGATGTTCAGTGTCATTCTTACCAGTTATGTACACATTGTCAAAGTACACACAAACATTTGGAATATCCTTAAAAATACTGTCCATGACAGCTTGGAAAATTCCAGGACTAGATGATATGCCAAAACATAGTCTTTCATATTGGTAGAGTCCTTTATGTGTGTTTATTGTCGTATAGACTTTTGAATCTGGATGCAGTTCTAGTTGAGTGTAAGCATGACTAAAGTCTAATTCAGTGAATTTGTCTCCTCCTGCCAAATTCAAAGAAATTTCCTCAATGTTAGGTATAGGGTACCTATTTAGCTCTATTTGCTTATTCAGTGTAGTTTTATAATCTCCACAAATTCTTATAGAACCATCCTTCTTTAACACTGGCACAATGGGTGTCGCCCAATCGGAATAGTCTACCTTCTTTATAACGCCATTAGATTCCAATCTACTTAGCTCATTTTCAATTTTATTCCTCATTGCATAAGGTGGAACTCTAGCTTTGCAGTATCTTGGATTTGTGTCTTTAATGCTTAACTTCACTGTTCTATCATTTAGTAATCCTGGATTACCAAAAACACATTTATTTTCAGATATAACTTTATCTAGTGAAGTAAGACTAGATTCTTTTACATTCTTCAATGAACAAATACTCTCCCAATTTAACTTAAGATCACTTAACCAGTTCCTACCTAGTAATGGCGGTCCATTTCCTTCAACCACAAGAAGAGGAAGTTTAACACTTTGACCATTATAATTTACATGAACCATACACTCTCCTATTACCGGAACATTGTCACCAGTGTATGTTGTTAGACACTTGTGACACGGCTGTAGAGACACTGATCCTCCTGTGACAGCGTCAAAATCTTTCTTTGTTATGACTGTTAGAGATGCTCCAGTGTCAAGTTGGAAGCTGATGCTCTTACCGTTGATATTAACTTGTACATTGATGGGAGCATGACTTTCTGATTTCACAGGGAACAGGTTGAAATCCGGCTGCAAATCAGTTTGAGCATTTTCACAGGTAGAGTGGTTCATTGGTTGGGTTAGGTAGTCTTGGTGAGAGTTGACATAGTGCTGCTTTTGGTTGCGGTACTGTCTTGACTGGCTAGATTTAGCAACAGACGAAGACTTTGCAAAGCAGGCCTTGGCAATGTGACCTTGCTTACCGCACTTATAACAAGTTGCAGACTTGAACTTGCACCGATGAGATGCATGGGGACCTTTGCATCGATGACATTTTTGATAATTATTACTAGATTTAGATCTAGGATTTGAACGAGCAGGCTGTTTAGCATAAGTTGGAATGCTCTGATGGGGTTGATGTTTATTGACTAACCTGCTGTTTACTGCATGGATCCCTGAAGGTGCTAAAGATCTCGCCGCATCTGATGACTGCTGGAATGACATTGCAAGTTGTATTGCTTTTTCCAATTTTAGATCTGACTCGAGCAGCAACTTTCTTTGAATATCAGGGCTGTTTACACCTGTCACAAACTTTTCACACAGTCTGTCAGACAGCGTTTCGCCGAATTCACAAAATCTACTTAAATGACGTAAAGCAGCAACATAT